AAACTTGTGATAGCAGATACTGCTTATTAATGTGGTCAAATTCCAAGGGTGATGGCACTGCTTATTGTGCTTAAAGTGCTCACCAAGGGCTTGATTCTTGGACTACTTGGAGAGTAAGGTACAACTCAGTGTGAGTAAAGGTGGCAGAATGTGCCCCAAAATGATAAGCTCCACAAACGAGACATTTTTAATGGCACATGTACATTTAAGGATATGTTCTCCTCTTCAGGTCTACTGGGTGAATCCCTCCCCCCCATACAACAGCGCTATTTCTGTTGTAAGCGGTGTTCTAAATATAGGGGCCTGAGCTGCTAAATTCTCCTCCATAGTTCACCTTCTCATCCAACCGAAAATCAAGGTTGTGCAGATCCAGGATAGTGGGTCAGCCCAGTACAGATTTAGGGTACAGCTGCAAAATTCAGATCTGGATCCAGATGAGAATATACAGTCTCTTGCTTCCCCACAGTTAGAAAGTGTTTGTATCCAGGGGTTTGGTCTAGGCCCATCTCTTGTTCTAGCTTATTCAAACTTGGATGAAATGAACGCTTTTTTTGCAGACTAGTTATACTGAATCGTTTTTGTCTCATTGCCTCACCTTCTGCTGTGCTCTCTTCCGTATTATCTGCCATCTCCAAAGGTGACCCTAGATCGCAGAAGGTGCACTTCGGCCCATGTGTGTACTTAGCTGAAGGGACAGAAAGAAATCAACATGTGTCTTGCCTTACACTTCACTGCCCCTGCCTGCAGAGAGGGAGGGGAGGGGCAGTGAGAGTGTGAGAGAGAAAGCAGTGAGAAGAGGAAGAAAAAGAGAGAGAATGGGAACTAACAAAAAAGGAAAACAGTACAGCGAGGAAGTCAGAGACAAACTTCAAGTTGTGGATTATTTCTCACAGAGGCTCTAATTAGGAAGCTTCTTATGGAACTGTGAAGCTGTCAGGCTGCCAAATGTCAGAGTGTTTGTCAGAGATCAGGGAGTCTCATGTCTAAGGCAGTTACAGTTTGGTGCCATGATCCTCCCTGTTCTTTCCAACATTTGTGACTAACACTCTGTGCTGTCACCTTTAGAGGGCCTTGAGGAAAAGCAGGGGCTCTATTTCCTATATAACCCCAAATAAACCCTTCCTCATGTCTGGCCTGTTCCTACTTGTTCGGTTTGGAGAGGGATAATCTACTGTTCAGAGCTGCTTCAGTGTTAGCAGCTGTACTGACTCAGAGATTCCCCAGGAAAATCCCCCATTTCAGAGATGCAAACTGTCAGTCTGCTAAATGAATGTTATCATTTAAAAAATTGTATATTTTTAATGACTACTGACAAAAAGCCAGATTCTGATCTCTCTTAAATCTATGCCAACCTGGAGTGCCATAACTTAATTGAAGGGTGGAGGAGTAGGCTACGCTCAATTCAGGAGAGCGCCCTTATTCAGGACTGCATTTAAGCACATGCTTCCAATTAAGCATGTGCTTAAGTGCTGTCCTGAATCAGGGCCTGTATCTGGAGTGATATACTCTAGGTGGTAGTGGTTGGTACTCTCTTTTTATTGTGTGTAAATGAGATCAGAATCTGGCCTCAAATCTTTTCTTGTAACAAACCGAAACTTCATATAACGGGAGGAAAAGTGAATCCTTAGTACTGACATTTATCAAGAGAAGAAGAAAAAAAAACAAAAAACCCCAATCCAATTCTGTCCCTTGGACACTAACATTCAGGCACCAGAGTAAGATGTTGAGAAAACAAGGCTTCCATACAGCAAATTTTCACACGCAACTAGCTCACCGTACATTTCATCAGTACACTGAAGGTCTCTTAGCTGACTCACACAGGGGACACACTTGACCATGCTCAGAAATGAAATATTATTAATTCACAACTTAGTATAAATTAAATAAACTTTCAATGTGGAATGAAAACTTCTAATCATTTGTAAGCAAATGTTGCCATTTAGCTTATTGAATATTGCAATCAAGTTTAACATGGTTCCTCCTGTTTGCATATACAATGTTGTGTGAGTCTCTGTGTGAATGTACATTTAAACCATTTTTAATGGAAATCTTATACACAGTGTATCTTTAGTTTTTTTAATGAGAATTGATTTAAAATATATTTGTCTAATAGAAGAGAGAAAATGTACAGATCATAAAGTTATATTTTGTTTGATTTCAAGGAAGTTATGAACAGTTTCATGGTATTGTGTACCTATGACTTCAGACATAACACGCCAGTTATCATAGCGGGGTTTAATTCCTATAATTGTAGGACCTAAGCCTACATTCCTTGTTACACTCCAAACTCCCACTGACTTCCATTAACCCTCATTGTTTGTGTTGTATGATAGTTGTCTTTAATTTTTCTCATCCTTGAAAAAAGGGAACGTCTCATTGCTGTGACGTCAAATCCGTGTAATATACTCTTCCCAATACAATCATCATCTAGTTCACCACCTAGTCCTTCTCTAGTTCTACTTCATTGTCATAAGAATGGCCATTCGGGGTCAGACCAGCGGTTCATTTAGCCCAGTATCCTGCCCTCTGACAGTGGTCAATGCCATCCCCTATAGCCAGCTCGCTCACCAAGTTTGAAAAAATAAGGTAGGACCATAAAATCCACTTCGTTGTCTTATCCCACACAGAGGGCTGGAAGCTCATGAGTCTCCTTTATGTTATTCAGAGGGAATAAACAGAACAGGGCAATTATTGAGTGATCCATCCCCTGTCATCCAGTCCCTGCTTAGGGACACCCAGAACATGGGGTTGCATCTCTGACCATCTTGGCTAATCACCCGAGATGAAGGAAAGTTTCTATTAAAACACAGTGGGTTTAGCTAACAGTAGGTCCCACGTGTCCATCCTCAGTCTGAGCCACTGCTTTAAAAGTTTTTCATATACAGTCCTTAAGTGATTTTATTTTTACTACATGACAATAGTGAAATATCAAAAAATCTCAGGCTCTTGTTATCAGAGGCACAGTACAAAAGGTATTTTTTAGCCTGTTTCTTATACCCCATTCCCAACTTGTCAGACGCCATGACATGGCTCCCTCACTCCAACAACAGCAGTTCCAACAAACAGAAAATTATTTCCAACTGGCAAACATGATGTTTACTTTCCAGAAAAATTGCACTTTCCAATCTGACAGTTGATCAAGGGATCCCCCCGCTGCTGTCAGCAGAAAGAAGTGTTTAAACACAGGGATGGGAGTTTAAACATTTTCTCATTATCACAGAATAAATAAATAAATAAAATAAAGGCATTGAGCCTCGCAGACCACCTGCTGTGAGAGTAATGAAGCTGTGTCACATGACCAGAGTGAGAGGACTTTTATCTCTGCCCCCAATATCATTACTGAAGTGACACCTGTCACATGACCCAAGTCAAGTCTTTTATCTGTGTTCCCCAAATGCAGTTCTGGGTTACGGTGGGATTTTTTTGTGCACGGTGCATTGCCCATTTGTGCCATTATGGATAGAGTTTTGTCAGCATTTGTATTAGAAAACTCTTCTTTTTTCTTGGGATTTATAAATTGGCCATAAAAGTTCGCTCTCGGCTGAAGCAAAACAGAGAGAATCTTAACCTGGCAAGGAGGTTGTTTGATTTATTTATTTATCTTAAAGGCAAATATTCATTAAAAAAATCTGCTGTTTAACTGTGCACATTTTATAAAAGGATGTTTATAAGTTAAATGGCTTTTTTCACTCAAATTTCTTTTTAAATATATGTATTTTTGTATGATCTGCTTTTTTGGTGTGGTGGTGGGGCTGGAGCCTGAAGTTCTCCACTTATGTCCCCCACCCTACCCTACTAATTAACCGTATCCCTGTTTTGAGGGAGTGTCGCGGGAGAGGACAGTTCACTCAGCCCTTGGCCTCTCTGCTGATGCTGCTATCAAGGTTTCCTCTTCATGCCATTTGTAAAGGGTTTTGTCCAGGCATGGTGTTCCCTGGCTAGCTGTTGCCCCTGAAATCATTGCTGGGCTGGGGTGTGTGTGTCAAATCTCAAAAGGGAAACCTGCTTAAGTTCGGGCTTCCCCAGTCATCAGTAGTTTAGGAAGAAAATCCCTGTTGGCAGGTGTTGGCAGGTAGTATCAATGATGCTGTGTAGAGCAGGCAGCTTCCCTCTCCATCCCAAAGTCCCACCTACAAATTTTCTAAACAGAATATCCATGGACCACTTCCACCATGGGATCAGGAACAGGAAAAGAGTGCTGAGGGGCAGTACATCCTTCTGCCAGGATCTTCATGTTCCTCCACCCACAGGAGCACAAGGTATGATTTGTCCCTTTGGCAATTTGAGTTTTATGGGGCAAGGGAAGGTAGCTTTGAAAAGTAGCTGTTCTGCAATTGCAAAAACTACTTTCCATAGGAATCTGTAATGCATAGTCCCAACAGACACCACTCTGAAAAAGTGGTCTGCTTCCAATCTTCCAGCTTCCAGAATTCTGTCACCATCTATTCACTACAAATCCTTTCATTTAACATGTTTTTGGTGCTTAATGGCCCCTAATTAGAAAGAGACATCAGACCATAATCATTCCAGAATAGACCTTATAGCCCTTGGTTCTCCACTGCCCTGCACCTTGTGTGTTCATTTACACCTTTGCAAAGAGAGTGCAAAACACTACCATTCTGACTTGGTAGCTTTTGACACCCATTTTGCACTTGTAAAGGACTATACAATGACAATGGAGAGCGATTATGGTCAATAATACACATTTGAAATGCACCATGCCTTTCTACTTGTTAAAAAAGCTGTTACCATCTAACAACTGGTTTCAGAGTAGCAGCCCTGTTAGTCTGTATTCGCAAAAAGAAAAGGAATACTTGTGGCACCTTAGAGACTAAGCAATTTATTTAAGCATAAACTTTCTTGAGCTACAGCTCACTTCATCGGATGCATGCAGTGGAAAAAAGCACTGAATGCATCCGGTGAAGTGAGCTATAGCTCACAAAAGTTTATGCTCAAATAAATTTTGTATTCCATGTATTTTGTATTCCAAATAAATGCAGTGGAGTCATGGAATACTCGTGGACCAGTAACTAGTTAAAGACGGGAAACCAAGAAAAGGAATAAATGGTCAGTTTTCAGAATGGAGAGAGGGAAATAGCAGTGTCTCCCAGGGATCTGTACTGGGATCAGTGCTTTTCAACATATTCAGAAATGATCTGGAAAAAGGGGTAAACAGTGAGGTGGCAGAGTTTGCAGATGATTCAGAATTACTCAAGATAGTTAAGTCCAAAGCAGACTGTGAAGAGTTACAAAGGGATTTCACAAAGCTGGGCAACTGTGCTGCAAAATGGCAGAAGAAATTCAGTATTGATAAATGCATATTGGAAAACGTAATCCCAAATATACATACAAAATGATGGGGTCTAACTTAGCTTTTACCATTCAAGAAAGAGATCTTGGAGTTGTTGTGGATAGTTCTCGAAACATCCACTCAATGTGCGACAGCAGTCAAAAAAGCTAACCATGTTAGGAACCATTAGGAAAGTCATAGATAATAAGACAGTAAATATCATAATGTCAGTATATAAATCCATGGTTTGCCCACACCTTGAATCTGCATAAATTTCTGGTCACTCCATCTCAAAAAAGATATATTAGAAATGGAGAAGGTACAGAGAAGAGCAACAAAAATGGTTACGCGTATGGAACAGTTTCTCTATGAGGAGAGATTAAAAAGAGAGGGACTACTCAGCTTGGAAAAGAGACGACCTAAGGGGGTATATGAGAGAGAGGGGTGTGGGGGTATGGGTGTGTGTGTATATATATATAATCATGAATGGTGGGGAGAAAGTGAATTGGGAAGTGTTATTTACCCCTTCACCTAACATAAGAACCAGGAGTAACTCAATGAAATTGACAGTAGGTTTCAAACAAATACAAGGAAGTACTTCTTTGCAAAATGCAGTCAACCTGAAGAACTCATTGCCAGGGATGCTGTGAAGGCCACAAGTATAACTAGGTTCAAAAAAGAATTAGATAAATTCATGGAGGATAGGTCCATCAATGGCTATTAGCCAAGATGGTCAGGGATGCAACTCCATGCTCTGAGTGTCCCTAATCCTCTGACTGCCAGATGTTGGGACTGGACAACAGAGGATGGATCACTTGGTAATTGCCCTGTTCTGTTCATTCCCTCTGAAGCATCTGGCATTGGCCACTGTCAGAAGACAAGACAGTCTGACCCAGTATGGCCATTCTTACGTTCTTATAACTTGCATCCAAGAGTTTTAAAAGAACTGGTGGTTAATGTTGATTTTCAGTAAGTCTTAGAACACTGAGGAAGTTCCAGAAGACTGAAAGAAAGCTAATGTGCCATCATTTAAAACAGGTAAATGGGATCTCCTGGATAATTATAGGCCTGTCAGTCTGATATTGATCCTGGGGCTAGATAATGGAGTGGCTCAAAAGAGACTCAATGAATAAAGAATTAAAGGAGGATAATATATTTATGAGCAATCAACATAGAAAATAGATCCTGTCAAACTAACTTGAAGTCTTTTTTTTTTTTTAATGAGTTGAAAAGTTTGGTTGACAAAGGTAATAGTGTTGATGTAATGTACTTAGACTTCTGTAGGCCTTTGACTTGGTGTCACATGACATTTTGATTATAAAATAAAACTATATAACATTAACTTGGCACATATTAAACGGCTTAAAAGCTTGCTAACTAATAGGTCTCAAAATGTAATTGTAAATGGGGAATCATTAAGCAAGTGGGTATGTTTCTAGTGGGTTTCTACAGGGAGCTGTTCTTGACCCTACACTATTTAACACTTTTATTGATGAGCTGGAAGAAAACATAAAATTATTACTGATAAAGTTTGCAGATGACACGTAAGATGAGGAAGTGGTAAATAATGAAGAGCACAGGTCACAAATACAGAACGATCTGGATTGCTTAGTAAACTGCGTACTGCAAGTACTGCAAACAATATACATTTTAATACGGCTAAATATGAAGGCGTGCATCTAGAAACAAAGAATCTAGGCCATACTTACAGGACAGGGGACTCTATCCTAGGAAGCAGTGACTTTGAAAAAGATTAGTTGAAAGTGAGCTCTCAGTGTTACACTGGCCAAAAAGGCTGTTGCGATCCTTGGGATGGATAAACAGGGGAACCTTGAGAAAGAGTAAAGAGGTTATTTTACCTCTAAATTTGGCACTGGTGCAACCACTGCTGGAATACTGTGTCCAGTTCTGGTGTCCACAATTCAAGAAGGATGTTGATAAACTGGAGAGGGTTCAGAGATAAGCCACAAAAATGATTCAAGGATTAGAAAACCTGCTTTATAGTGCTAGACTTAAGGAGCTCAATCTATTTAGCTTAACAAAGAGACTGTTAAAGGATGACTTGACTGCAGTCTGTAAGTACCTACATGGGAAACAAATATTTGATAACAGGCTCTTTATTCTAGCAGAGAAAGGTATAATATGATCCAGTGGCTGGAAGTTGAAACTAGACAAATTCAGACTGGAAATAAGGCATACATTTTTAACAGTGAGAGTAATTAATTATTGGAACAATTTACCAAGGGTAAATTGGTGGATTCTCCATTACTGACAACATTTAAATCAAGATTGCTGAAAGATATGCTCCAGGAGTTTATTTTGGGGAAGTTCTATGGCCTGTGCTATACAGGAGGTCATATTAAATAATCAGAATGGATCCTTCTGGCTTTGGAACCTGTGAATCTATTACCTTGCTTATCCCACACCTACACCAGTATAACCCCACTGAATAGTGGAATTACTCCCAATTTAAAGCTGCACAAATCAACTCAAAATCAGAATCAGAGGGTCATATTATTTACACTAAATTCCCTCTGACACTGTAAAGGGGCTGGAAAGTGGGCATAAGTAACACCCACATTGAGGTTGTGTAAAGGGGACTTAGTGTAAATGAGAATTAGGTCCATTCAATGTATAAATTGAGAAGTCATAGTTTGTCTCCCTGTCAAGGTAGATAGCATTGAGATTGTGAAATATGCTAAGAAATTCAAAGTATGTCCTAAGTCATCACTGATTTAGGGTCTAATCCTGCACACTTTAATCATCAGCATATTCCTTACTCATACAATTCTCCCATTCACTTCAGTGGCACTACTTAGGTGAATAAGGATTATTCACGCATGTAAGGTTTGCAGGATCAGGCCTTTAGAATAATTTCTTTGCTTAAATTTCCCTCACAGCTTTGCTTTGAAACTATGCTGAGGCTTCCAGTTTCCGAATTTCTCCAAATTCTAGGAGATGAGCAAAGGTGCTTTAGATGATTGAATGAAACAGAGAAAAGCACTGTTAGTAAGAACTCTTCTTCTAACTTCTTCCAGGAAGAATCCCTGTGAGAAATGTGGTAGGAGTGAAAGAACTCCCAGCTACTCCCACCAGCCTTCCCTGTCAGGAGACACCAGAGAGTACCTTTTCTGTTCATAGTCTGTCAGCAGCCCAGAGATCAAGGATATTAAAACAGGCTGGTAACTCATTAGTGCATCAGTGCTCTGTGCAACAATTTTACCATAACCAATCTTTGTTTTCAGTCATCTTAATTCCGCACTGCGCTCGCTCTCATCAACACCTACACATCTTTTGGATACAGCATAAGAAGACCTCTGAATTAGGCTCTAAACAGCTGGCCCACAATGCACATTTCTAATGCTCTGCTGGTGTGGAATCAGTAGAGTGATAATCCTGTTAGTAATGGCAGAAGCTCCCCCTTGGAAATTATAACAAATAGTCTCAAACAATTCCTTTTGTTGATGACTTTATCCAAGAAACCATCTTCCCTGGAAACTTCACTCAACTTTAGACTAATCCCCTCCTTCCCTCAGGAGCTCTTTTGTTGGAGGAGATTGTAGGCAAGCCCAGGCCTGACAGGTCTCTGTAAGCCTTGGATCAGTCCCTACTTTCTTTCAATTGTCAACCCCCATCAGTCCCGTTTGTTCATCAATCTTCTGGTCCAGGGATCTCTCTATTAAGAGACAAATGGCTGGGTTTATTTGGAAGGTCCAAACTCTAGACTGTGCTTTTACTTCTTGGTTGCTAAGTCAATCTTCCTGACGTTGCTTTCTAAAAAATACAAAAGACACATCAGGACATCTGCACTGTCTCCTTCTTTCCCATTGAAAGGTGGCTTTTATAAAGAAATCTCCCTGGACCAGACTGTCTTCTCAGTTACATCAGTGTAAATCTGCTGATTTCAGAGGAGCTATTCGAGATGTCCACAGGTGCAACAGAGAACAGAATCTGCCCCTATAACCAAGAATGCTTTTGGGATAAAAATCTTGTGCCTAGAGAATTCTTGATCGACTAAATCTATGAATCCAAAGAAAAAAGTATAATCCCAAATATTCTGCAGATTTATTTGCTTTCGTGACTTCGATTATTAAAGATGAATTTAAAACAACTCTAAGCTTTGCATGGACACCCCTTGTGGCCCAGCTAGTTCAGTAGCACAAAGGTATAAATGGGCCCCTATATTGGATATTTGCATTAAGGGTACCACTAAATTCCCTCTCCTTCAGATGGATGTTCACAACAGGGTGGAGACTGAATGGAGCTATGGCATGGAACATAGGACATCCTGCATATGGACTTGGCACAGTTTATTTCCTCACAGAGCACAGGGAGTACAGGGAGGAGATTGTGACAGTGATGTGGTGCCCCTTACTCTGAGTTCATGGCAAAGCCACCATTGAACCTTTTATGTTCTGTTGTTTGTTTTTATTTTTGCACCCCATTCAGGTTGAGTAGTGAAAGCAGGCTGCCAATTTCACTGTTTCTAGTCCATTTCACTTTCTCATACATGAGCATAATGTTGTGCTTTAGATGCCAAGTTACCATTATTTAGATTATTTTAAACCTGCTTTTAATTGGCAGCTTTTAAAATACATTTAACATCTCACTCTTTTTGTAATAAAAATTAAAAAAATCTAAATTCGTACACTACTAGATTACATCCCAGTAATTGAACATTGGAAGAAAGCTTGAGTGACATTTAAACTTGTATGTAAGGCATGTGTGTGAAAGAGAGAGAGATGGGGAAATAAGAAGGAATAGTGTCAACATGAAATCTAGTAAATATTTTAAAAATTAATTATTTTTGTGATTGTGTATTTTGTGTGTGAAAGACCCCCAAAAATGGGGCAAACTGATTAAGGTTTTGATCCTGCAAATGCTGAAGCACGAGCATAACTTTACTCAAGTGAGTAGTCCTAGAGCTTTCGATGGAATTACTGACCAGAATAAAGTCACTCATGTGTTTGCAGGATCAGGACCTATCTGACTGCACAGAGGAAACAGCAAAACTGACTGCACAAAATCTCCTGACAAATGCACAAAGTAAACAAACTGAAAAAAAAAATGGAACTTATTTTCTGTATTTTCTTTCAGTAATAGTGATCTGAGGTGTTATTTGTAGCAACAGTAGGTAAAAGGTATTCAGACAGAAGTGGGAGTTTTAAGTTAGCAATTTCCCAGTAAAACTGAAATACAAACCAATGCTGTTATGATTTAAGACAACTTCAGCATCTTTACCTAGCTCTTCTCAGACATTAGAGCACACATAGGGCCAAATTCTGATAATACTGTTATGCTGATCTAAACCCAAAGTAATTCCATCTACTGAAGTGGTCCTGGTTTTACAATGATGTAATTGAAAGCATAATCTGATCCATGGCATGTGTGCTGAGTTACTCAGGGCATGTCTACACTCAGACATTTCACCGCAAACAGAAAATCACCTCCACAAGAAGCGTACAGTTCTTACTGGTGCTACTTTGCGGTGATGTGCAAATGAAGACACTTTCTTCCTGTTTACACAGCTTTTAGCCCCCGGAGGATATCTCACAGCGCCTTGGTGACCACTCTGGCCAGCAGCTCTGTTGCTCTGAGGCCAGGTAAACAGACGTCCGCCCCTTCCCCTGTAAAGCCCCGGGAACTTTGAAACTCCCCTTCCTGTTTTCTTGGCAAGTGCTCACTTATCATTTGGCCAGGTGACAATGGCTGCTCCATGGAGCAAACGATCCCCTGCTTGGAGCAATGCTGAGCTACTGGAGCTGATCAGTGTTTGGGGAGAGGAGGCTGTGCAGGGACCCAGGATGCCTCACGATCACCTCCCATCCCTTCCCACAAGAGCTATCCTCAAAATGGAGAGAGCTGCACTGTGGGATAGCTGCCCTCAGCGTGTGGCTCTCATCGGGGATGGAAGTGCTGCAAATGTGAACACGATCTGACCCCTCTGGAAGTAAGTGAGAACACAAACCAGTGCTTTCCTTTTACTGGTTCCCAGTGAAACTGACAGCGCAAAAACTCTGCAAGTGTAGACATAGCCTTAGATAATGAAGGTGTGAGTGGTAGTGGGGATACCTGGGTGTACATTTTGGCATTTTTAACCCTAAAAGGAAAAGGCCTACACAATAAATTCCGGCCTCGAGATCTGTGGAGAACTAGAATAGGTTAATATGACAAACAGCAGTCCCAGAGCTGAGAAGCCATCCATCAGTGGTTCCTAGGCTCAGATAATCTAATGTAGGGTATACACACCCCTGAAGGAATGTATATAGTGCAAATGCTAAGCATGACAGGGAACATTTGTTAGGACTCACCCTGTTCAGATGAGTAGAGCCCCTGTACCTTTCCCCAGTTACTTCAACAGTAATCTCTTTGTATGACTGAAAAATGTTTGGGACACTAATACCAGTAAGCAAGTTTGAAGAAGTTAACTGCTGATCATGCTCAGAAGCTAACTGCAAAACTTGATTAACTCACCATTGGCAAATGCAGACCAAGCAAAGAAAGGGCACTGGTCTGAGAGTTAGGGAAGCTGGTGTGGCAAACATATTGCTATTAAAAATAGAGATGGGGAAGTTTCCATGGGAGCCAATGCTGCTAATGCTATGAGCTATAACGCCTGCAGAGTCTGCTCCTCGCCCCTACACCCTTCAGATGGCGGGTAAGGGAGAGGACCTATGGGTTAGTGGCAGACAGGTCTGCCCTCTGTCTGGCTATTCTGAGAGCTGTAGGATATCTTTGTGGATGTTGATGTAGCTGTGTTGGGAGGCTACAGGCCTGCAATCCCCCTTTCCTCCACCTGGGTGGAAGCTCAGGAATAAGAACTTTTTAGAATTTCCTGCTTACCCTTTCCTCAGCCATGGGTTTTGCCATTGGATGAGCGATTGTAACTCTTTTCTGTCCCGCTCTCCCCACCTTAGGGCCTTACCAGCCCACATGAGGACTCGTTATGGGCTCTCATTTGGTGAGGATGTTGGCAGTAGCTTCTATAGTGAAAAACGAACACTGTTCTTTTAGTTTCTCACCTAAAAGGCTGTTGAACATTCTTGTTTTTCACCAAAACTTGCTTGAACTGGCTTGGCGATGACCCTTTTGGTAAGGAGCAAATAGGTCACAGATTTCTGGCTGCAGCCTCACTCCCGGAACTGTAAACAGTGACTGTGCTGTGGAGAAACCAAGTTTGAGGAAAGAGACTGAAAAGGATGTTTTCCTCACCATACCTGCTCTGTATCGTCTGCACTCTCATTCCACCTGCAAATATCTTTGCTTCTTAACCTAAAATTGTGGGTGGGAGCAGCAATGGCCGCAGAGACACCAGAGAAGCTCTGATCTGCCTAATGTTTCCCAAAGCCACTATTTAGAGAAATATAGTTTCGTATACATGGGACATTCACCCAGGCAAATCCTTCCACTTGTATTAGTATTAGTGCAGATAAACTGTTTATCTGAATCACAATTGTCCCCATCTCCTGGTGTTAAAAATATGGCATTTAATTCAGGAGCAGGCACTTTAGAAAACAAAGTATAGGATGCTGTAAAACATATTAGCTGTGGACTTGATCCCACAAACCCTTCAGTGCATGAGCAATCTCATTACTGATCACATGAATGAAATTATTTGTGTGCTTATGTCTTTGCAGGATCAGGCCCCCTTAGTTAACTAAAATCCACTGAAACTTTGTTTAGCCAGTGGAACGAGGGAACCTTTTTAACTGCAGAACTGTTGAAATTCCCCTGTTCCAGTTTCAGTTGAAGCAAACCTGTAATCACTTTCCTTGGTTTACAGTACCTCCATTTATAAAGTGTGAGGAAGGGGGAATCTTATATTACTACTTTGCTAATACTGGCAGTTCATATCACCTGACATAAATTAGTTTGGAAACTTCTTTCTCACAGCTCACTTTCTTACGCATTTTTGGAGAGGGAAGGAGAGAATGCAGGTGTGTTTCTGAAACTCAGGCTCCCTAAAAATCTCATCTCTGTTTTTGTTTGTTTGCTCCTTTTTTTTTTAAGCAAACAAACAATAGGAAAACATTATTTGGCAGAACAGTGGTGGGAATGCAACCCGCTAATCAAAAGGATTCAAATCGATCTGTGCACTGCCAAGCTCTCTCCTTCCCACCCAGTGGAGGGAGAAAAGAAAGAAAAAGAAAGGAGAGAGAGAGCAAAGGCATAGAGCTTCTCTCCTTCAGCAATCTCACAAATGCAAAACCTTCCACTCCAGTGACTCCTCATTAACTTACCGAATCTGACAGTCTAATTATCACGGCTGCTTCGCGCTTAGAATAAATAAATACTAAAGTGGGTGTTTAAAGAAATTGAGAAGGCAAATTCAGTCATCTAGACAGTCAATAGAGAGAGTTTATTTTAAATTTTTATATTCCTATGTATTTATATCATTTTGGGAAAGATAATGAGATAGTTGTCTTTCAGACTAATTGAGTTCCTAGGCTCATGGCTGCTTGCTGTCACTGTCTCAAACTTAGCTTTAACTTTTGTGCCTTAGAAATCTGATCACTGCATCTCCATTTATGCTTCTCTGCTGATAACCCGATGAAGGCAGAAGTGCAGCTGAGAGTGGAAAATGACTAAATGGTATTGCTGGTCTCAGCACCTTTCACAGCAAACAAGACAGCTAAATCTTTTTAGATTTGCCTGTAATGATCTTAAAGGAAAAGTGCAACTTAAAGAAACCTCTGATACAATTTTGTAGACAAAATAAGCCAGACTCTTACTGTGTGGTGTCTGTAATATTCAAGGGTATTAACAGCACCCATCAGTCATGGACGTTCTGCTGCCTGAACATTTACTTATTAAACATAGGCCCACTGTAGAGTTACTTTGGATTTACAGGTTTCAGAGTAACAGCCGTATTAGTCTGTATTCGCAAAAAGAAAAGGAGTACTTGTGGCACCTTAGAGACTAACCAATTTATTTGAGCATAAGCTTTCGTGAGCTACAGCTCACTTCATCGGATGCATACTGTGGAAACTGCAGAAGACATTATATACACAGAGACCATGAGGGAGGAGGTATTGTTTCATGGTCTCTGTGTATATAATGTATATAATGTCTTCTGCAGTTTCCACGAAAGCTTATGCTCAGATAAATTGGTTAGTCTCTAATGTGCCACAAGTACTCCTTTTCTTTTTGGATTTACAGTAGTGTGACTGAGAGCAGCATTCACCTTATTGTCTGTTGTACTTAGTTTGCCAGAGTGCATATGGGCCAACCTTTGAGGTTTATACTCAAGGCTAGTTGTACTTTTTCAGGAGCATGAATGGGGGAATAGACACAGGGAACCTTCCTTCCCTCCCATCACCCAGCCCTACTCCCCTGTGCTCCTGTAAAGGGGCCAGGCACAGTCCTACTTCTTGCGCTCAGGCAGCGTGAGGTCAGCTGCAGGCACTTTCAAAGGGTTTAGCAGAGGCTACATTTCCAGAGGCCTGTGTCTCAGGTACTCTGCCTCCAGGAGCTCCTGCTCTAGGGTGATGCACCTTTGCATTGCCTGCTACCGACAGCTGTGGTATAAAGGCACTCAGTCTTTACACAGGCAGAACTCCCATACAAGTTAGCCTCTCTGAAAATCAGACCACTTGAGGCTGATGGGCATTTTGCCTGAGTAAGGAATGAGAAAAGATTTGGAAAATTGTCCAGAAATAACCCTATAGCAGGGGTGGGCAAACTACGACCCGCAGGCCAGATCCAGCTTGCATGCTGTTTTAAGATGGCCCACGAGCTCCTGCTGGGGAGCGGGGTCTGGGGTTTGCCCTGCTTCTCCACTCCAGCCGAGGCGCTGGGTCGGGGGCCACACCATGCAGCTCGGCTCGGCTCCAGCTGGGGCGCTGGGTTAGGGGCTGCTCCAGCCAGGACGCTGGGTCGCGGCCCGTACCACGCGGCTTGGGCCCGCTCCGGCTGGGCACTGGGTCAGGGGCCGCTCCACATAGCTCCCAGAAGCCGCGGCATGGCCCTGCTTCAGCTCCTATGTGCTCCAGTGGCCCTCTCCAGTGCTTCAGTGGGAGCTGCAGGAGTAGTGCTTGCAGATGGGGCAACATGCAGAGCTGCCTGGCTGCACCGCCGCATAGGAGCTGGAGAAGGGACATGCCACTGCTTCCGGGAGCCGCTTGAGGTAAGCGCTGCCCAGAGCCTGCACCCCTGAGCCTCTCACTATGCCCCAACCCCCTGACCTAGCCCTGATTGCCCTCTCGCTCTCCAAACCCCTAGATCCCAGCCCGGAGCACCCTCCTGCACCCCAAACCTCTCATCCCCAGCCCCACCCCCGAGCCCACACCCCCAGCGGGAACCTGCACCCCTGCCTCAACTGTGATTCCCCTCCCACCCTCCAAACCCCTCGATCCCAGCTCAGAGCACCCTCCTACACCCCAAACTCCTCATCCCCGCCCCAGAGCCCTCACTGCCCCCCCCACCCTAACCCCAATTTTGTGAGCATTCATGGCCCGCCATACAATTTCTATTTCCCGATGTGGCCCTCAGGCCAAAAAGTTTGCCCACCCCCGCCCTATGGAAAGGATTGCTTTGATTCATGGGCCAGCATAAATTGAGGTGGTGGTTTATCACCAAAGGCAGAACTTTGAGTCACGCCCATATAAGACGTATTAAAACTGGATTTATACATTTAAAATGGCCTTAAAACTTCCAAAAAGAAAAGGAGTACTTGTGGCACCTTAGAGACTAACCAATTTATTTGAGCATGAGCTTTCGTGAGCTACAGCTCACTTCATCAGATGTAGTCTCTAAGGTGCCACAAGTACTCCTTTTCTTTTTGCGAATACAGACTAACACGGCTGTTCCTCTTAAAACTTCCAATGCATCTAAAATTGCTTTTCAACATGAGATGTCTAACCGTGAGTCCTGAGGATGTCTCCATCCCAACGGCAGAACTCAGCGGTGGATCAGGCACGTGGTCGGACACTGATGTGAGTACATAAACTTTTCAACTGTGACTGAGAATCTAATCAAAGCAGCTGACTCAGTCAAGAGATTATTTCACAGACAGAAGCCTCCTGCAGGCTGCCTATTGTTTACACTATGCTGCACTGAAATTTCTCACCGGTGCAGCTGGGCCAGTGGAAGCAGCAGTGGAAGCTCTAGTGTAGGCAGTGACAAGGTAGTGCTGTTTTAAGCACTGTGTTCTGAGCAGAGTTACACGATACAGCGGCTAAAAGGCATGTGCCCTGTTGACACCAGCACCCCCATGCACTGGAACTGAAGTGGTGGTAGCAACAATGGGGAATTTTTAGGCCAATCAGGCAGAGCAGACACACCATGTGTGCCTGAAGGTGGCAGGGAAGCACTCTTGCATGTCTTGAAATCTCTCATCACCAGTTCACAAAGGGTGAAATTTCTCTGCTAGCAAAGGCCCAGCATCAGGCCTATGCACCACTTAAATCTTAGCCCGTCAAAATAGGACTTGAATGAGACTTAATGGTCTGTAGACCTTGGGCTGATCCTCTGCACAGGACTGAATGTCACCCACGTTGTGAGAAAGGCTTCTGTTGAGCTGGGCCTTGAGTCCAATGGGAACTTGAAGGCACACCAAGCTCAGACCTCTGTGCTTCCTCAATCGCTGCTAATCAAGCATCACAGTCTTGGGCGCTTGGGTGAAGCTGCTCTCTAGTTAAGTTCTTCCTACAGGACTATATTGGTGCCATCCACATGTCACGGCTTGCTGCATTCCCATCCCAAAGGACAGCTCTAAAGCCTTTGAAAGCAAACGAAATGTAAAAATAAACTAAATTTGCAGTTATGGCAAATATTACTCTGCCTTGTTCTGATAGCACACAACCTCGGGGGCTACCTTAGTGTAAGGCCATTGGAAGTGGGGTACTAGAACGAAAGGAAGAGGGAGCTCTGTTTTGCCACATAAATGGTTGAGTCGACATGCTGGTGTTCAGGCAGTAAACCCTGAGCCGTAACAGGCAGCAAGATGCAATTCACAGGTCTAGCTTGTGGCTTTATCTGCACTGCTGTGGCAGGGGCTGTGTCATAGGGTAGCTCAGGGTGAGAAGGAGTGAAAATTGCTACACCTTTTTAAAGGGGACAGCATTGCTGGCTCCAGACTACCAGCTCATCCTGAAAAAGGCAAGACTGTAACCCTTTGATATACAGCAGTACTGGGGTGCTGATGTATTTGAGCCCAGCTGGATTGTGAGTGGGGTTTGAACCTAGGACCTACCGTGCTGAAAGCTTGAATCTCTGTCATTGGCGCTAAAGGGGAGAACATTAGCTGGTAGCTTGTATCTTCTTATGTGGACCAACCAGTAAAGGGTGGACTAAGACCCACACTCTGCTAGCGTGGGTTACACCAGTTCCCCAGTAGCTTGTATTAATGGAGCACAAAGGCCAGCATTCTAGCCCCCTCTACTCAGGGTTCTCAAGCGGGAAGAAAGAGCTCCCTGCTTCCTGTTGCCCAACTCTCAGGCTCACGGGCCAGCAGCCACTGTCTGTCCATCAGCATTCATTTCAGTAATCACAAAGATGCTATTTAGGAGGGCTCTTGCCTTTGAATCGTTGATTCCCTCAATTTCCCCTCAGAAGTAACCTTTAGGAGATATCCTCTGGCTACAAACTTGTCAGGGCAACTTATGTAAAGGACAGTTCAGGCTACAATTATTTCACAAAAAGAGAAAAAAATTTCCAGGGGGAGCATTTTTTATGTTGGTTTCTGCCCCCTTATTTTGGTTCCTCCCTGCATCCCTTGAAGTCTACCCACCCCCCTTTTACATTTTATTGCCATCTCATTCTTTACCCTCCTGCTTTAACTTTCTCCTTCTGAGGGCAGAAACTACCCCCCAGCATCCTTCAGAACAGAGTAGGAACAGAACATATTTAAAATCTGCACTGTTATCATAGCAACCAGAATGCTACATTTCAATTCCAAAATGATGTGATACCAAAATGACATGGGAGAACAAATGTCTTACATGATCATAGCAGTGGAGATGGATGCATTGGGAATTATTCAAAATTGCCTAATTTGTACAGTCCTAATGAGTTGCTCACGGATATGATCTTGTACAATCATACTGTACTTGTTTCAATCCAATAGACTTTAATTTTGTTCCCAGCATAGTCGTCGCTATGCTAACGACATGTAATTTCTTGTCCACTGAGGTGCCTCTCGCTGCTATGCTGTGAATACCAGTGACAATAAATACGAGATGGGTATATAAACCCATGTGAAAAGAATTCCTCTCCTGTATGGAAATATGCCTTGGATATTATATCTTGTCCAGGAGAGTGACACATTGTGCCAATCTGTTGTCTCATTCCCTCTCCTATTTCTCCTTTCTCTCACTGTCTGTCTGTCTCTGTACCTATTTTTTCCACGCTCTCTCTTTCTCTGTCTCTTGGCACTGACACTTTCATCTCCTCCCTTGGGGATTTGAGATGTCACTGCAGGAAGTGCTTGTCCGCCTCTCCAGCAGCAGCAGAGCCCTGTGGCTTTGACAAACCTCATTTAATTGGGAGGAAGCCAGGAGGGTTTGAAAGAACTGAAACAGCCACGAAACTCCTTTTATCAGGCATAATTTAAACTCTGCATGGAAAAAACCCTATCTGTATAAAGAAAAGTCAACTTCCCTCCTGCTGTGAGTGCTCCCCACCTCCCCCCCCAGCACAGGCAGGCTCCTGCGAGATTCCATCTTTTCATTTTTCTGAAAGTGTCAAAGTAGATTTGTGCTCTGTGGCTGGGTGAACAGAAAGGGAATACAGATGTGTCTCTCTCACTCACACACACACACACACACAGCACCTTCAGAAAGGTGGCCGTGCAGGAGAGATGCTAGCTGCAAGCTCCTTTGCTTAGGATATGTCAGAAAATCCAAAAACAGAAGTTTTCAAATAACTTTGCAGCTTGGGCCAAGAAGATTCCTCCTTAATCACCCTTATCTAGAAGAGGAGCTGGTGCCCAGGAATCTTTGGAGAATGCCAGGACCACTGGGCACATTATACAGGGTGGGTAAGAGATTTTCCAGCTCCGTAGCTAGGCAGGCACTATTCTCTTTAAGTACTGGGGTAGTATGTGAATGTGTGGTTTTTGTTTTTATGTGATGAGTGAGCTACAGTGGGAGAGAGAAGTAAATGCAGGTAGTTCCAAGGGAGAGCTGGTTTGACAGGATGCAAGGGACAGCTGGTGTCTTCAGACTTCAAAAGGCAGCAGGAGGTCTATTTCAGGGAACCAGGCCTAACACATTGCGCCAAGCAGCTGGGAATTCAGGATATGAGCAAATCACAATTTGAATTAAACTACTCCCTCTGAAAATACAGCATCATCCAGCTCTAGGAAAGAACTTTGGACACGTAGTGACACAATTGGGAAAGGATGGCATTATATCAAGGCATTCACACCATTCCTTTTTCAATGAACCCCCAATATTAAGGTTCCCTCCATGTTCTCTTCTAATATTAAGATATTGTCATGTGTTGGGGAAAAAAGCTGACACTTGTTCAAACTGCAGCTCAGAGCCCCAAAACTTTGCAGCTTATGGGAGCCTAGGAGGAGTCCTCAGGCTTTGAATTTACTAGGGATGCTCTTAACAAATCAAATGTGAAGTAGCCCCCTTCTTCCTGGGATGGAATCAGGATATAACATACCATCACAAAGCTGATGCAGCCGAGACGGCAGAGCGCTGAAGAAGTTATGAACAAGTGCATCCTGTGCAGAGACCCGCTCTCGAGGAAAAGCTTTTAACATTTTCAGTGTGAGGTCTTCAGCTCCTGGTATCCGGCCCAGCCTAGAAAAGCAAGAGAAATAAATTGCCCCAGAGAGGGTCCAAGCCAGATAGCTAAGATCTGGAACCAGATCTGGATCTGAACTTCCTTAAAGCTGGGTATGGGGGGAGGTGTACAATCTGGGGAATTGGGGTATGTCCGTTATGGAGATATGGGCCTGTCCTGAAGTCTGGAGCTTCATGGGAACTTACTCCATTTTGAGGGTGCATATGTCCAGGAATTTGGTTCAGACCTATCTCCAAATAAACCTGTTTAGAATTCTCCCTTTTGAAGATAAATTGTTACTTTGCAATTACTGAGAGCTGTATATTACATGGGTCATAACTGGAACCTCATAAGTTACTATTACGGTCAGACTCTTAGAAATGTACAGGTGAGAAAATGTCAAATGTCAACTTGCCAGTACTCTGCTAGACCTGTCAGGGTATGTCTATGCAGCAACTCGGGCTCGCATTGTGGGGCTGTTTCATTGCTGTGTAGACTTCCGGGCGTGGGCTGGGGCCAGGATCTAGGACCCTGCAGGGTGGGAGGATCCCAGAGCTTGGGCTCCAGCCCGCGCTTGGAAGTCTACACAGCAATGAAACAGCCCTGTAGCCTGAGTACTGCAAGCCCAAGAAGGCTGGCACGGGCCCGCCATGGGTTTTTCTTTGCTGTGTAGAGAGATACCTTCAGTGGCCACTACAGATTTGCGTTCAGAATTAAGAAGCCAAATAAAATATCCTTTCCCCGTCTACTACCCTCCAGTTTGGCCATGCAGTTCGGCTCTAAATGTGTTGGGGGTGTGCCGATGTGACTCACTTGCTCAGGATGAATGTTTTAAATAAGAAAATATGCCCAGCAAATGCCAATGGCAAGTGGCCGACTCCCAGAGAGGACAGCAGCTGGGAGACTAGGAAGTGAAAGAGAGAAAACAAACAAACAAGCAAACTAATAAAAACAGTGGTTTTGGTTTTACGGCTTTTACTTTGTTTGCTCTGCTCCTGGGGTTTCAGCATCAGGTGGCACATCAGAGCTTGGCCTGTTGTGTTTCTACTGACTACCCCAGCTGGTGCTTCCCCTCTAAATGACATCACAGGACTGGTATCGCCCATGTGTCCTACTGTTTCATTCCTCTGATGCTTATGCTGCACAGAGGGCCTCATGCTCTGGGTGTCATGTTTTGAGGAGAGAGGATGTTAAAAAAATGAGACGCTAGAGCACACAGCTTTGGGAAAAGTCAGGTCTTAGCTTCTCTAGGCTGTGATGGTTGATTGCTCAATTCTCACCTCAGGCAAAACCATACCAGCCCCTGCTGTGTAGGGGAGTATGATACTGGGACTCAAATTCTAGGTGTTAGCCTGTGGGAAGGCAGACCATTGGAAAAAGTGTGCCAGGCTCTTCTTCCCCCTCTCCTGTGATCCCCTTTGCCCTGCTTGGTATCCCCATGCTCAAGGCTCCATGCAATGCCACGAAGCTTTCCAGTACCCCTCTTCCAGGCTCCACACAGCTACCAAGCACTGGGTAGAACTCCTTCACTGGCCATGGAGGGTTTAACACGATGAAGTTCTCCTTCCCTTCTCAAGAGCTGAGTGTGCTGCCTCTGTAGTGTTTAGATCCTGCTGACTTAGAGAGTCAGAAACAAAGAATCAAAGCGGGTTTAGCATTCAGTGCAGAACTCTGCCACCAAGGCGCTGGCCAGCTCATTGGTGTGAGCTGTAATGGACCCTTTCAAGTTTTAGCGACTGGGTCCTATTACCAAGGGACTGTGATGAGTGAGAAGGAAGCTATGCCACCCAGCATGGTTTCAGGGAATACATCCATTTCCCTGTTTTTAATGGTAGCAAGCAGGGAGCCTGGAATTCAAGTTAGAGAAATGTTAGTTTGTGTATTCCTGAAAGTTTCTGAAGATATGGATTAAAATTGCACGTGCGTCTAGGAACGGTACTTTGCTGAAGACTTCAGCAGCATCTCCTTTCAGAAATTCAGAACAGAGGCTAAGGATGCCAGCTCTACAGCAGAGCATATGTTCCCATGGAGCGATACTGGACAAAGCAGTGAGGTACTGAACAACGATGATGAAAAGGGTAGTTACTGTGTAAAGGCTGTATTCCACCCTGGATCTATAGGTGTGTGAGCGGAGCGGTGTGACAGGATGCTGAGCAGAAACACGGCAGAATCAGCCGTCTGCCACGCCAGCCCCATTTCGGAGAATAAAGTGGAGCTGGCTGGAAAGAACCTGCCCTAATTGGGGAATGAGAGCCAGCTGCCAGGCAAGTTAGCCCAGGGCTATATAAGAGCCTGGGAAGAAGGAAGTGGGGGTGGTGGGATGGAGGAGAGTGAGGGACTGCCCACAAGGAGAAAGCCCTTCCTTTCTGGGTCCAGACCCAAGGAACCCAGAGCTGTACAAGCTGTAGGGTGAGAAGGTGGTGGGAGCACAAACTTGTAAATAAAAGCACCAGTGGTTTCAGAACCCAAGGGCCTCTGAGTGACTTTGCAGAGGCAGGAGCCAGGAGGGCCAGCTGCACCCTGTTACAAGCAGGAATAGTCTTTTTGGCTAACCTATGTGTGTGCAAAGCACCTAGCACAATGGGGTTCTTAGAGAGGGAAGATCTGTAGTGCTGAATGTCCATGGCCACATTGTGCAGCTTTATTTCAGGCATCGAAAACCTCCACAGAGTTATTCCAAATCTGGTGCAGCCAGGTTAATTACGGATGATAGCATGGCTGCTGCCAGTCCATGATCAGGCAGTGTTCCCCTCCTGACCTCAGATCCGATCTTCAGGGATTAAGGTGCAGGGATGTTATCTCTATGAGGCGACCTATCTGACTAAAAACTGCCAGCCAGCAGTGACCAGGGAAGACTTCAATCCTCTCGGAGCCACTTCACAATAATACTTCTCTATTATTGATCAAATCAAACTGTAGTGACCAGGCCTTCTGAAATAGATTTGGGTACTGTGCTGAGTGAAGAGCAATTTCCCAGATTATAAATACCTTTCCTTGGCCGTGGGATGGACAGATGTGGAGGGAAGGAGGAGGGGGAGCTATTTTAATGCTGACACTTTAGCCCAGGAGAAAGTGAGTGAGAAATGTGCTCTGCTCTACTACAGTGTTTGAAGTGCTGTCTCTAGGATGAGCTGCTAAATCAAGGCCCAGGCCATCTCTAGTAGCATTTGGTCACTGAAGAATGTGAGTTCTCCTGCCCTAATTAACCCCAAGATGTTGTGTAGACAAGACCCTTGTATAACTTAACTAACTCTTTCTGGCAATATTCCTATCAACTATTTCCATGCAAGAGAAATTGGCCATCAAGTCTTCTCCAGAGGGCCTGGGAAAGCATAACCTTCCTGAATCAAATTGTGCCCCTCAAACAGCCACACATAATGCTGTTGAACTGCTGCTTGTCTGAGACTAATAAAGCCACTAAGTGCCTATCCCTACTGCAGTCTCTCAGAGACTGATGCTTACCTTATGGCAGGTCTGATTATTACTAAGAACTGCCGTACTCATCCTGAACTTACTGAAGCTCATTTAAAGTTAAATGGTTGCATATAAAAACAAACAAACCCAGAGGCCGCTTTGACGTTGCTGTCATAGGTAGCTTACCTGGCACAGATCATTCGGAGCCTCTGAGGTCTACTGGAGACGACCCTCTCTAGAAAGTTAATATGCAATCAAAAGATTAAACAAAAATCAAGCAACCAACCATTCTTTGAGCCCTCACAAAAACATACGCTTGGAATTTCAAAGGCTTCTATAGAATTTGTCGCTGTAGCATTTATAAATATACATTATTCCTATAGAACTTGAATATCAGCAGTGATGTTAATAAGGCTGTTACCGTTCTATAACCCTTTCTTTTCATACACCTATGAGGGCAGGTCTTGGGCCGGATTCTGTTTCCATTAAAGCCAGTGGGAGTTTTGCTTTTGACTTCCACAGAAGCAAGATCAGTCCCCAAAACCTAAGACTAAGAAATCAGGGGTAGTGTTGCCTAGTCAGAACCAGGGACCCAATCCAGCAAGGAGATCTGCCTGGGCAGACCCTTACACCCACAGAGAGGACCGCTGAGGTCCAGGAGCTCCCACATAGGTGCAAGGGTTTGCCTTTATGGATCTGATTGCAGGACAGAGCCTGAGTGAGGGCTCTAGGACAGTGGTTCTCAACCAGGGATATGTGTACTCCTGGGGGTACGCGGAGGTCTTCCAGGGGGGTACATCAACTCCTCTAGATATTTGCCTAGTTTTACAATGGGCTACATAATAAGCACTAGCAAAGGCAGTACAAACTAAAATTTCATACAGACAATGACTTGTTTTATACTGATATATATACTATACACTGAGATGTAAGTACAAGATTTATATTCAGATTCATTTGTTTTATAATTAAAATAATAAATAAATAAAATAATGGTAAAAATGAGAAAGTAAGCAATTTTTCAGTAACACTGTGCTGTGATACTTTTGTATTGTTATGGCTGATTGTGTAAGCAAGTAGTTTTTAAGTGAGGTGTAACTTGAGGTTACGCAAAACAAATCAGACTTCTGAAAAGGATACAGTGGTCTGGAAAGGTTAAGAGCCACTGCTCTAGGATGGCTAAGTGTGCTTATCCAGATTCCCACTGTCATGCTTGCTTTATAAACTTTCTAGCAAACTGAAGCCTTGCAGACTTTGCAGTATGGGAGGGGGTTGGTTTTTTTAATGGTCAATTTTCAAAACAACTGGAATCTTCGTGATTTATACATTGAGAATGAAAACAGATTTTTCAAATGTCATCTTCCATTTTTCAAGCTCAAAAATTAATGTAACGTCACATTTATGGCATCCATAGTATGGACTAGTCACTTGAAGCTTTAAAAGAAAAAAAAAGAAAGAAACAATCCCCTTTGAGCTTTTTAACTGGTACATTCTTATCACCAAACAATTCCCTGTCACTGGAATTGCAGTCTGCAAAATACACTGACACAGTTCAGGGCTTTCATTCCACTTCACTGTTCAATGGAGTTTCACTCTCTCCCAAACTATTAGTAGGGTCTATTGTATTTCATTTCAAACAAGGGAAGTATTGCATCTGCACAGCCATTTTAATACCAAAGCCTTCAAAATAATTTTTAATGTGAGATTTCCTGCAGCTGCTTTGCACCCTTTAGATTGAAATGGCTCAGAAGGAGTTTGTAGTCCAGAAATTCTATGGGCTAGATCCTCTGTTGGTGACACATTACTCCACTGACTTGAATGGTTTTATGATGATGTATACCCTTTGAAGATTTCGCCCATTGAGTTCAACGGAGCTGTGCCAATTTACAGCAGCTGAGGGTCTGGCCCAGTATATTCACATTTAGGGTCACAAGGTAGCGCCTGGCTGTTGCATGAGTGCACTGAGGTGGGGAGAGTGAAAGGAGCCTTCTTCGCCACTTCTTATGCCTCCTGCAAAGTCTGCTGGGTTGGGATTGTAGAGGCACAAAGCACCTATGATTCCCCACTTTGCTAGGATGTCCACAATCACTCAGTGCAGCTTTCAAGGAGATGTTCACATCTGTGTAGAAAGCCCACAGCAGGCTTGTACAGCGCATGGTGTTCAAAATGGGACTTAACTGGGATTTAAGCGGTTCATATGTATTAAGCAGGCTTTCTGAACAGGGATGAATGTCACCCAAAGTGTGCAGTGCTGGCCAGGGCAGCCAGAGTCAGACGCTATTGGCAGAGGACTCCTATGAAGTCTCAGCTACATCTAAAAGTTGCCCTCACTTGGCAGATCACTGACGGTGGGTAGCAGTGCAAACACTTCTAGAGCACGGCTGACTCCAGGCATCCCTAGCAGCAGGACTGAATCAAACCCATAGGTTTTACAGGAAGGCGAAGGTTAAGGAAGAACTATAGCTATTGTAGTAATATTACAAGAAACTGCTAAATTAATTAAATTAATCTTGGGACCATTCCTGAATCGCTTCATAGGCCAGACTCCCACTGAAGTCAGTAAGGATTTCAGGATTGGGTCCACAGTATGTCCTAACCACAGTGCTGTCTCACTGAAAGCACAACAGTCTTACTAATGACAGGTTTCAGAGTAGCAGCCGTGTTAGTCTGTATTCGCAAAAAGAAAAGGAGGACTTGTGGCACCTTAGAGCCCGAAAGCGTATGCTCAAATAAATTTGTTAGTCTCTAAATTGCCACAAGTACTCCTAGTCTTACTAATGTTCACCATGTTGATTTACAAGTTTGAGATATACAGGTGTATAGTTACCATCATTTTACTACAATGCCTACAGGATTCCTTTGCAGTTCTAAGTGTAATTGAAGTAGCACTCCCAAAACTGCCACACGGCAATGCACTGTGTCTACTGATCTGAGATTGGTTTCAGAGTAGCAGCCGTGTTAGTCTGTATCTGCAAAAATGCATGCATCTGATGCAGTGAGCTGTAGCTCACGAAAGCTTATGCTCAAATAAATTTGTTAGTCTCTAAGGTGCCACAAGTCCTCCTGTTCCTGATCTGAGATAGTAAGGGCTGAAACTGTTACCAGACTTACTTAGCTGCCTTGACATATAACTTTACAGTGAGTTATAAGACAAACAAAATTAAGACTGAGCTCTGTCACAAACCCGTGTTCACTTTTACAGTGCAATGTAATATTTAGTAATCTGCCACAATGGTACAGAAGAGTAGGTAGGTGCTTAAAAATAGTATGATTTTAGGTAAAATCAGAAATACACTGTAGGTTTATTCTTGGAATTTCTTGAGAACCATAACTTAATTAATAAACATATGAATGGACAGATGGCAGTTCTTTGATACCTTCTCCCACCCGCCTTCCCCCTGACGGGGGATGTTTCCTTCTGCTGATTGGCTTTTCAAATCCCAGTGTTAGGAGAACACAGGAGAGGAGAATATGAGGCAACCTAAACAACTCCAATTCAAATTCTTTTTCAATTCTGATGAAAACACAAAGATGTGCAATTCAGACAGTGTAATTAATTGCTGTAGGAGAGCCAGCTCGACCTCCCGGAGATCAGTGTGCAGATCTTATGCTTTCTGCTCCAAAGGGGAACGTTGGTTATATCAGTCACATGGTCCCACCCCACCCCTTGTTCCCAGATCTCTGAACAGCTTTCCACAGGTTCAGTGTAGAGGAAGGAGGTAAGCCAGGTTGGAGGAATGGATGTGCATTGTTCTTCCACCAACCTCACCAGGAGTCGTCAGAAAAGTTAATGCAGCCTCAGGCTAGGTTACATATTCTTTGGAGCCCTTTCCTTGCCTTGGAACCCCCTTGAAACAGACTGCTGGGACAGGCACATGCATCCCAGGACAAGGGCCCTGTCACACCTCCCTCAAAGTGAGGGGAGTTTCAGGGCTAGTGATGGGTTGGGATTGGGAAAGCTCTGGCAGCATGACTTCAGTGGAGTCCCGTAGGTAGGGAGTTGGAAGGAGACTGTGTGCTACCTTTATGCCCCCCTGTCCTGGGGCTGTTTGTGGGGTGGTTCACGCCCCAGTATACATTAGAGTGGCTTCAAGGGTGCTCTAGCTTGTGCCCATCTGTAAAGGCCCTTGAGTGCCTGTTGTGACGATGATGATCTCTGAAGAGCAAGGGTGTTCTACATGCCCCTCTTCCTTGGCCACATTCTCTATCCTAAGAGAAACTGGATGGAGTAGCACAGAGCCACATATTCTAGCCCCATGCCACATGTACCAGGGAGATCCTCAGGTAGCTGGCTTAGCCAGTTTTGTGCCAGTAGACAGGTGCAAAACAGCTTCAGAGCTAGGGTCTGGCTCAAGCAGTGTAGAATCAGGCTCATGGTTTGCCTTTGGTAGCAGCGTAACTGCTTAACAGCCACCTTGTTTGGAGCCACAAACTACTTCAGGGTAGACTATTAACTGGGGGCCTGATTCTCTTTTGCCTTGCACCTTGTGTAGTAATTTACACCCTTGGAAAGTGAGTGTGAATAAATACAGAGGGTGCGAGACAGTGGGGAGCCAGGCTTTAGGGCTGGGTCATGCATTATTTCATTTGATGCACAGACATGTCTGCAAAGACATAAATAAATAAGCTCTCGAAACTTAATCTTTTCAGCAACAGGTTTTCCCCATTAGGCTGGGCAAACAAGTAGCTGACACCTTTTGATTGTATCACAGTGTAAGCAATATTTCAGAAATGTAGCAGACTTCTGCTGCCAAATGTTAATGAAGTCACTAATAGTAGATGACTGTATACATTGTGATTAGAGTCATTACTGTTTTAGTGCCAGAGCTCTGGAAATATCTCCCTGGGAGTTACTATTAGCATCTTTTATAACCCCTTCCTCTAATCAATCATTTAAATTAACTCAAATCCATGTACCTGTTGGATCACTGTTAACCATTTCCCTGGGATCTTCCTTTCCCCCTCCTTTTTGCTTTATTTTGTTTTCTCACCTTTCAGTAAATTTGTGGTAATTATTTGTCTGTATTGAGTAGAGATGCAGTTTGTTTGAAAGCAGAGAGCAAAGAAAAAGGATGAAAAGAAATAATGTTATCCCAAAGAGAGTGTAAAATTATTTATAATTTTACATGATTTATAATTATTTAGCTTATTATAGAACTTTTTGCCTATTAATGTAACTGATTGAAATTTTTCTGACAAAACAGTTGTCCATCAGAAAATGCTGATTTGACAAAA